GCGGGCGCCGTGGCGCTGATGGGCGACGGCCGCGAGTTGAGGCTGGGGCTGAGCGGCGCGCGGCCGCTCGGCGCCTGGCTGAACACCACCACGCACTGGCCCACCTGCGGGAAGAGGCAGCGCCGTCAGCAGCCGCGCGGCGGCCCCGGGAGACGCCCCGCAGCGCCGGGCACGAGCAGCGCCGGCGCCCCGAGGCGGGCGCCCCGGCTCTTACCCTGCACGCAGGATGGCACCAGAGCTCCGGCGCGCCGTGCTCCTCGTTCTCCACCTTGAGCGGCTGCCACGTCCAGGGGCTCGCCCGCATGTGCAGCAACCAGGCGTCCTTGAAGAGCTGCGGGGCGAGGCAGGGCGGCCGCATGAGCAGCGCGAGGGCGGCTCGGCGCCCGCCGCGCTCACCAAGGCCGCGCCACGGCCCTTCAGCCACAGCTTCCATCCCATTAGCAAATGGGCGCTAATTCTCCCGAGACTCAATTAACCCCGGTGAGCTGCTCGAGATAGCGCCCGGGGTGCTTTTTATTAATTAAAGGCAGCTCTAGCTCGAGCGACAGCTTTGCTGGGAAAGCCAGCACGGGCACCCGGATTAGGGAAAGGGCGGCTAGGAAAGGGCCCCTGGCACTGGAGGCCGCATCCCAGGTGGCACTGGTGACCGCCCTCTTCCCGGAGCCCTGCCGTACTCACCGCGTTGGGGCCTCCGCAGCCGCCGAGGATTAAAATGGTTTCGTCATCTATGACAATCTGGAGGGGAGGCAAAGAGGAGCGTTTCAGGACGAGCGGCCCCGGCGTGGGCCAACTGTGCCTGCCCCGGCACGCAGGGTGCAGCGGGGACACGGAGCCGGTTTGGCTGCGCCGGGGGCAGAGCCGGGTTCGAGCGCGGCGCTTGCACCGCTCCCCGTCGCTCCGCGCCGCTCACAGGCTGCACAGGGTCCCTGTGCAGCGCGGGACGCCCCTCGCGAGCTGCTCCCCACGCGCCTTTCCCAGCTGGGGAAATTGGAAATTCCTGCATCTTAGTCACAGGAGTGACTAAGGGCACCGCCAGAACCGACATGTGGTGCAGTACCATGGACCTCAACTGCCCTCTAACAGGGGCAAAGCCCCAAATTTGGGTTTTTGGCAATGCTCGTTACACGGCTCAGCCACGTGCAGGACGCAGCACAGTAGCGACCTGAGCGTTAAGGGGGTTTCAGAGCACGACCTCACCAAATGAACGGCTAGAAAACAGGGGCCCGGCAGGCAAAGACAACTTGGGAATTGGAGAGCAGCTTTCAGGAGAGCCGCAGGGGGCTGCCTGGGAGCTGGGAAGCAGCCAGAGGAGGTTTAATCTCTGGTTTATCTTTCGCCGCGCGCGCTGGCTGCAAACCTCACCTGCGACTGGCCGCCCCGCGGGTGAGGGCTGGGCCCGGAGATGTTGGGCTTGGACCAGGCCCACTGCTCGAGATCCAGCACCCAGACGTCGTTGCTCCTGCAGGGACGAGACACGGGACGCTGAGCTGCGGGCACGGGCGCTCGCGTGCCCTGCGGTGCCCAAGGAAGCCCTGATGGAGGGCAGATCCTTCCCACCAGAAACGTGCTCCCTTCAGGCTGCTGCCCCAAGGGAGCTCCCGGGGACGGGGGCGATAAGCCAGGCCCTGCAGCGAGCACGAGCCCGCCCCTCGTGCCGGGCACACGGAGGCAGCTTCCCTGCCCGCTGCCCGGTTCCCGTGTGGGGCTGCAAGGGTGCGGAGCAGCAGCGGGCAGGGCTGTCCCCAGACCCCCCCCAAAACGGGGCGCCGCGGGGGCTCCCCGTGCGCTCACATTTGCCGCGAGCCCAGCGAGCCCCCGAAGACGATCATCTTGTCCTGGATGACGCAGGAGGAGTGGCCCGCCATGGGCGGGGGGCCGTGCGTGGTGACGATGCAGTTCCACCTGCGGGAAGAGAGGAGCAAACGCTGAGCACCGAGTGGGAAAGGAAGCAGGGAGCGGGACGGCCGAGACCAACCCGAATCCCCCAGCCAGCCCTCAGGAACGGAGCACAGAGCAAGGTCTGCAGAGGGACAAATCACAGCGGAACTCATCCCGAACACCCGTGCGCCTGGCATTTTTCAGGCATGACGAGGTCACTAGGCCAAGCTGGACATCTCGCCCCTTTCAATTAAGCGGGCCTCGAGCTATTTCCACTTAATTGCAGCGTCCGCAAGCCACCGCCCCAGCAGCGCGTTGGGTAATTGCCCCTTGCGCTGATTAAACTGGCTCAATGAGCGGGGAGCAGAATTCGCTGCTGCGCTGAGCACGGGGAGGTTAAAATGGAATCGGAAATTCCTGCATCTCCTCGGCCACTGCTGGATACATTCTTAGGCCAGGAGCTTCAGTGGCAAAGAGCCTTCCAAAATGGCATAAAATGGCAAAAACTTCAGCATTTTGCCCTTGGAGTGGAATTTGGAGCATCAGCAAAAGCAAAAACTCCTGCAGTTAAAGGTTTCCGCTCTTATTTTCCTCAAAGACCTCAAGCAAGCCCCATGAACTACATATTTTAAACACACCCATCCAAGACTGGAAAATATTCCAGAAAACACTTGGGGAGCCTGGAATATTTTGCATGTGGGTTTAGCGGAATAAGGAAGTAACCAAGAGGTCTCAGGTGGCATCACGCTCAGGTCTCCCAGGCTCGCCCGTGATGCCGTCCGCTTTTATTTGCTTTAAAAACAGATCCTTGGACGTGCCAGGGTTGGTGACACTTAGGAAAGCAAGGAAATACGTCCCAGGAGCCACCCGACGGCATCTCTTGGATGAGAACGAGGGTGAGAACGTGCACTGCAGACGTTTGCATCCTCACCAGTTTTTGGAGGGCGAGTAGGTGTGGATCTCGTCGAAGAACCTCTCGGGCTGGTGCAGGGGGTAGGGGCTGGGCCGCGTCCAGCCGCCGAAAAGCACGAGCAGGTCCTTGTAGACGACCAGGGTGGCCCCGGCCTTGGGCGACGGGTAGGAACCTGGGCAGGGACAGAGAGAGCAGCAAGATGAGGCCGCGGGCACCGAGCTGCCCCTCGCCGAGAGGGCAGAATTCAGGGTCGGGAGCCTGGTAGGACAAACGCCTGCCAATTAGCGTCGCTGCAATTAGCAGCAGCCCGAAGGCACGTTCCACGTATGGCAAAACGTCTGTCCGTCACCGGCAGGAAATGGCCAGCTTTCCAACATCCCCCTTGAAATTCCTGCTTTGGCGTGAGATGAGAGCAGGAATTACCCTCCGAGTGCCGGCTATGGCCTACCGGGGAAGCAGCGAGTGCTGAATCCCGAGGGATTTCGCCTCCCGGAGACGCTTCCCGGGCCGGCTCCACGGAAAGCGATGCTCATTTGGAAGGGATTGACGCCTCTCTCCTACGTTTGGTGCTCTCGGGGAGCCCAGGTTGCCACCCAGCTCCTGCCCCGCTCTAGGCACCCGACACACCTCGATGCTGCTCCCGGCACGTGGCCACAGGGAGGGACAGGGACTAAAATCCCTCAGGAAACCGCCCTGAGGCTATTTACGTGCTCTGCTACCTCCGGGATTGGAGACGGGGGCTCCTGGCAGGTTCAAACACCAGGAGAGGGTCACGCTGGGCTAGTCCCCGTCGAGCCAGATCTTCCTGGTTCGCTGCAGGGCAAAAGCAGCCACCAGGACAGCGAGAACAGCAACCATGCCACCAGGGTCAGCCCTGCCTCGGACACGGCCCCCCGGGGCTCCCGGGCGGTTTGGGACAGCCCGAGGCAGGGGACAGCCCTGTTTTCCCCCGAGTTTTGCCCATTACTGACTGTTGCACAGGTGACAGCAAAGGCAACGCTCCACTCGCTCGGCTCACGGGCCATCTCAGCGCCAGAAGCGAACTGCTTTTCGGAGCAACGCTCCTTCCCTCCGCTCCCCAGAGGGACGCGGCGTCTCCGGGGCTTCCGCAGGCTCCTCTCTTCCAGGGAGAGCCGAGCGCTGCCCTTGGGAAGCTCCCTCGGTGCGTGCGGAGCGGCCCGCGATGACTTTATCCACCTCTTAGGTCAGAGGGGACACATCAGGCTGTGAATGGGAGAATGAGCACCTCCAATGCGGCTCCAAAGAGGGAAGCAGGGCTGGTGCCCTGCAGCAGAGATCCAGGAGCAGAGATCCCCGTAGGGATCCGGGCTGGTGCCCTGCAGCAGAGATCCAGGAGCAGAGATCCCCGTAGGGATCCAGGGCTGGTGCCCTGCAGCAGAGATCCAGGAGCAGAGATCCCCGTAGGGATCCAGGGCTGGTGCCCTGCAGCAGAGATCCAGGAGCAGAGATCCCCGTAGGGATCCAGGGCTGGTGCCCTGCAGCAGAGATCCAGGAGCAGAGATCCCCGTAGGGATCCAGGGCTGGTGCCCTGCAGCAGAGATCCAGGAGCAGAGATCCCCGCAGGGATCCAGGGCTGGTGCCCTGCAGCAGAGATGCTCGTAGGGAGCCGGGGGAACGGGAACGGGTCAAAGCCCAGGTCCAAGGAGGGGTTTCAGAGCCTACGTTTTAGTGCAAGATGTAAAGGCAGGTTAGGAAGCGCGAGGCAGGAATCCTGAGTCCTCCCGCGGTGCGGACGGGATCGTTGCGGCGTCGGCTCCAAGCGGCAGAGCCGCCGTGTCCGGCCGCTTCCCGAACATCTCCTGCCGATAGGTGGCTCCCCCAGGCTGCTTGGAGCGACGTGGACCTTCTCCCAAAGTCCCAGCGCGTTCCCTGCAGCCAAGGGAAACCCAGCAGCGGGAAGGAATCGCTCCAGAGGGAATGCATTTAGGAAATGCTCTGCGCTGCTTCCCGGCGTCATGCACGGGCTGTTGGAGCCCTGGCGGCTCTGAACACTAGAGCTAAGCATGGCTGAGCAAACACCTGAATTTTATCTTTTCCTGAAAAAATAAAGAAGAAAAAAGGAAGATTTTCCATGTGTTTTCTTTCCCTTCGTTGCTCTCCACCTCTCAAAGGCTTTTCAGGACCTTGGTTTAAGTGAGCTGACCGAGAGGAACGGGCGCTCTCCAAGAAGTAAAATCCTCTCCCGGATTGAGAAATCCCAGCGTGGAATTTTGGAGGTTGTCTAAGGAGTATCTGAGGGCAGACACTTCCTTTTCACAGGCTCAAGGTTTTGCCCCACTCAGCCTAACTCTCCCCCACACCGAAACACTGGGGCACTTCCAAGCTCCCGGGGAGCGCCGGGGTGTCCGGCGCCGCTCCCAAACACGGCTCCTCACTTGTTGTATAAGGATTCCCAGCCTCCAGGAACCTATTTTGGCAGACGACCCCGGGGGTGGGTTTAAAGGGAGGCTGCGTCGCTCCGGGCTCGGGAGAACCACACGCACCCAACGGCCCTTTCCCTGCTCGGGGCGACCTCCGTGCGCCGGGACGGTGGACCGGAGAAGCTAAAAATTCCCCGCGCCCGTCTCGGAGATGGAGGCAACAGTGGGAAAAATTCCTGCCGTTAATCTCCGGAGGGATCAGCGCCCGGGGAGCCGAGCTCTCCTTATCTGAATCTAACAAGGGCAAAGCAACGAGCTATTTTTCATGCCTTTTTCATGCCGATAATGTCTTTGGAGGGCTCTGTTTTGCTGGCAACGATTCCTGAGGAGATTAAAAAATAAATAAAAAATAAGAGAGGGCTCCAAGCGCAGGAAAAAGGAGCCTGAGCGCGCGGGAAGCTGCCCAAAACGAGCGCTCCGCGCCCAAAGGAGCAGCGTTTCCACTAGGGATGGGTGTCACGAGGCTTTTCAGTGGTGCCCCTTCTCATCAGCGTTTGCCTCCGAGGCAGTGGGTTAAGAGCCTGGATATGGAGTGAACGCTGGGTGCCCGGTGCCCGGATCCGCTCCTGCCTCCGGATCCGGGCGCCCCAGCTCGGCCTCTCCTCCGCAGTGTCCCCCTCCGCAGTGTTCCCCACGTGGAAAAGCAGACCCGTGTCAAACCCACACCTCGCTTTTCCCCCCGCTCCGTGCTCCCTAGGAAGGCATGAATGGAGGTAACTCCCATATGGAAGGGCTCTGCATTCCCGGGAAAGCCGGGCACGCTCCCTGCTGCACCTCCCTCTGCAGCACAAAGCGGTGGAAGGGGCTCTGCAGGGTGCTCCCTTGGCTGAATTTCCACACGCGCCGCTCGAACGGCTCCGTCCTCTCCCAAAGGGGCTCTTGTTCTTTTATTTCCAGCTTAATTTCAAGGAAAACTTCCTCCCTCGGCGGCTCCCTCTTCACGTCCAGCCCGACCCAAGGGCACCGGGTTGGAGATCTCGGCTCTCGACTTGGCCGCTGTGTCCTAATCTGCTTGTCAACCTGGGAGGTCCAGAGTGGGAAAAAACTCCATATATTCAAGGAGAAGCAATTCCAAGGAAGCTTGGCTGCCACATCGACATCCTGAGGTTTAGGGACACTTAACTCAGGGATTCCAATGGGATCAAGTCGCTCCAGGCGTCGCGGTTCCATCGGCGGAAGAGTCAAGGTGGATTTTCAATGACAACCTGGCGAGTTGTAGCTTGGCAGAGGTGGAAATACACCTTAAATGCCAAGGTCCGTCTGGAATTCTACCCTTCCAGGCCGTGTTCGGGGCTACAGCAGCATTCCCCTCTATGTTTCGACCTCATCCATCCTGCTTTTCATCCAGAAGGACACGGGGCTCCCTTGGAGGAATCTCCACCTGCTCCAGTAACCTGTTGTGCTTGGAAGCGCTGCACACCCGAAGGCAGCGGCTGTAGCTGTAATTAAAGACACGACTCCGTGCCAGGCGTCAAGGCACTGGGGTTCCCAGGCAAGGAAGGGCCTCGGATCTGTCCCTTGGAACACGAAACGGGTCCCTGTGCCCTGGGACTGCAACACAGGGTGAAGCCGGGGCGTTTGGGTGACGGGTCTGGCAGCGGGTGCTGTTCCCCGTTTTGGGAATCGGCACAGGACACAACACACAAGCAGGGACAGGCTGCAATTCCGCATTGGGGAGCTTCCGTGCTCCGGCTTGGAGCTCCTTTCAGCTCTGGAAAGTGCAAGAGGTCTCACCATGGCATCCTGGCACTGTCCCACCTGAGACCTGCAGCTCAGCCTCTCGGCTCCATCTGAATCCCAGAACGGTTGAGGTTGGAAGGGACCTCTGGAGATCATCCAGTCCCACCTCCTGCTCCAGCAGGGACTCCCAGAGCACGGGGCACTCGGTCGCATCCAGGTGGATTTGGAAGACCTCTGGAGAAGGAGCCTCCCTGGGCAGCCTGTGCCAGGGCTCGGGCACCCTCACAGTCACGAAGTTCCTCCTCACATGCACATGGAACTGCCTGGGGTTCAACTTGTACCCCTTGACCCTTGTCCTGTCACTGGTCACCACTGAGAGGAACTTGGTCCCTTCCTCCCTGCATTCGTTTCTGGCTAGGGCCATAAAACACGGGAGGATCCGTGACTGCGCAGCGGCTGAGCCGCCGCCGCAGCCGCTCCTGGTGCCCGGCAGCTCCTCTCACAGCGACCAGGGCGCCCCAAAGCCTCTGGCATCGGAGCGGGAGAAGGGAGCTCCCGCCCCGGGGTGCCAGGATTGCCTGCACGGAGCCTCCCGGCCTTCTGATGTATCCGTGGGGATGGCGTCGGTCAAGGAAGGGATGGCGCAGGGCCAGGGAGGAGCAAGGCTGAGTGGGATGAAGACCCCGAGGGTTTCTCTGCTCCACACACAGACCCTTCGCCGTAGAATAAAGACGGCCAGGGAAAGATTAATTCCCAAATTCCCAGTTCCCAAAAAGCCTTTCACCCAGCACGCCCCGGCAGCACAGCTGCTTCGGGGCCCTCAGTGGCCAAGCAGGCGCTTGCCTGGGGCTAAGCTCCCTCCCCTGCCTCTCCCGCTGCCCTCTGGGCAACGGGAATACGAAACGCGGATCAGACGGAGGCGCCCAAGGCGCTGGCTCAGTGCCCATGGCCGAGGCACCCTCTTCCAAGACCCCCTCACCATTTTCAAAGCACACAGAAGGAAGGAGACCCATCACGAGCACCTCAGACCCGCGAGGAGATGGGACGCGTCTTCCCGAGCCCCAGGGTCGGAGGTCTGCACTGGGGGCCAAGCCCGGCGGTCGGCAGCCACCAGGACAGGGGACAACCCCAACCTGCAAGTCCCTCCCTCCACTCGCTGCACCGGGGCCCCTGCGTCACTGCTGGGCTGGGCTTTGTTTCCTTCCTGACCCTTCCCGCCGCACAAAAGCCCCTTTTTTGGGAGCAATGGAGCATTACGGACACCAAAAGCGACCCTGTCCTTGCCAGGGTGCAAGAGCAGCACCCTGGAGCACCCTGTACAACGCCAGCCCAAAACACCTCCGAGCCTCTACCAGAGTCTTGTTGGCGCATGCAGGCTGGGGGGCCAAGAGCCCAGGTTAACATCCCGGCGCCTCCTTCTCCGGCCCTTCGGGATCGCTGGAGAGCCGGGCTCGGAGCAACGACCTCCTCCTCCGGAGCAGCCGGGCAGGACCCCTCAGCTGGGCCCTGGCCTCAAGCAGCAGCATGAGGAGGGATCCCCGACGCGAGCAGAACCCGGCCAGTGCCGGCGCCGTCGCAGCTCAGCCTTGCAGGAACCTTGAAACCTCAGAAATTAGGGGGTTGTGAAGCCATCCTCTCCCTCCTCCGCCTCCAAGACGAGAGGAGCCCAACCCAACTATTTCTTTGAAGGGGAAATATTTACTCCTTCAGTGCAACAGCTCAGCCGGGAGATGAATCACCCAACTCTGACGTTGCCTCAGTGCCTCCGAGGAAGAAAAGCAAAAGGAAGATGCAGTTATGGAGAAAAAAAAAAAAAAAAGAAAAAAGGGGGAAAAAAAGGAGCTTTCTGCTGAACAGCCTACAAAGCTTCCCAATGGGAATGGGATGAAGCTCCTTCTTTTCTGAGCCCCGGCTGGGCAGGCTCCAAGGCATCTAGCTGGGTCGCTTGCATTTCCTTTAGGTAGCCCTACCTGGGTGTTTTCCACTCCAGCAGCAACTACGGGTGGTGGAGAAGGTGAACTCCAGAAAAAGCCAATTCCTTGAGGCGGTCACTGCCCACGAGGAAGAGCCCTAGGTCTGAGCTGGGGGCTCCGCGGGGCAGCAGCTGAAAGCTCAGCCTGAAGCGACGACCGAAAGCCAGCTGTGAATCCCAGTGCTCCTGGAGGACACCAGCCCTGCCTGGACAGCCGTGCTGAAACGCGGGCAGAAGGCAGCGTGGTTGGACCTCTCCAGCACGACTGCTTGAGAGGAGAAGCCATTGTCTTCTCCTGGAGAAAGACCCACCCATGGGATCACTAGGATGAGCCACGTTGCCCAAGCGAGGGCTCCCCTGTGGCACCCACTGCTTCATCTCCCTCCAAGTTTCACAGCTTGTGTCCCCTGCGGGCACTCTTCTCTCCCAGGCAGCGGGTGCCAACACTTTGCTTAGGGCACCCCTAAAAAAGCAGCTATGGGCCAAGAAAGCACCACGGGCACCAGCCCGGCTGACTCATCCTCTCTGGGAGGGCTCAACAAGAGCGCTCTGTTCGGCGAGGCCGCCCCACGTTTCAGCTGCGATCTGATCTCGCTCATGACAGCGCGCCGAAATATTTCCTCGGGGGCTCTTCCCATGGGACTCAACCCTGACACATATTCCCACAGGACTCTCTTTTTAAAAATAATAATAATAGGAAAAAAAAAACAAACAGTGCTGCTTGTTAGCAAGGCAGTGGGAATTCTGCTTTAGAAAATACCGAGGGGTGACGGCGGCGACGGGCGGGCGGCGCGGGCCCGGGAATGCCACGGAACTTGCTCTCCGCAGGAGCAGGAGCCCGGGGCAGCGCAGAGCTCGGCAGAGCCCGCCAGCCTCTTCATGCTCCTCGTGGCCTCTTCTCCACCTCTGACCGGAGGCAGAGAGGAGTTGGAGTGGGGAAGGAGGGAAAAATAAGTTATTTGCTACATACCTGCCCTGCGCTAGGTCTAGCTTAGCCCTCTCTCTTGGTTTCCAGCCAAGTCGTTATACGCTCTGCCTTGACCCAATGCAGGTCGCTTAATTTTAGTGCTTAAGAGGCCACAAGTGACCTCCTATCCCGACAAAAAAACGGATTACACGGAAGCATGAAGCCCTTCATCCAGCCAGCATCGTCACCCACACGGCAACCCCAAGACACAGCCCATGGGGCAGCAGCAGCTCCGTTTGGAGGACCTGAAGGAAGGATCTGGTGGGGAAAATGGAGCTTCAGGCGGTAACTGCACAGTCCAGGACACACAGGACGACTCAACGGGGAGAGTCCAGTCGCTGCCGAGCTGCTCTCCTCCTCCTCCCTTTCCTCATTAAGTGCCAAGTTTTGCTGAAACTGGTACTTCTGTCTCACGTTTTATCCACAAAGAGCGTCTCTCCTTCCAATTCTTATACTTTTATCCTAATTATTCCAGTCAAACACAGAGATATATGGGGAAAATGAAGCGCTTTGTGGTGACATTTCAAGTTCAAAGCTGGTGTGGGAAACAATCCGTGGCATTTTCCACAGTCCCGCGGGAACGTACCTGTGTTGCTAGGTGGCCCCAGTGGCTGCAGGCAGCACGTGGGCTCCTCGAGGAGGAGGAGGAGGAAGGAGCCCGGCGGCTTCTCTGTGCAAGGAGGAAAAGCAGCAGGGACCCAAGTGGCTCCGCAGCGCAGCGCTGCAGGCGCAAGGACGCACAGGCAGGCTACGTTTGGGACATACAACCTGGAACCTGTTCCAGGTTTCCAGGCAAGCAACCTGGAACCTATTTCCACGAGGGGGGAAATACAGCATGAGCCTCGGGGGTGAAATGTGGATAAAGGCGTCGGCGGAATGGAAAGGAGTCGGGAAGAGGGCTGTGGATTGCTGGGCGGCCACCCCTTCTCACCTGACGCCAGCGGCCGGATCCACTCCTTGCTATTTAGGTCAAGCCTCCAGAGATCGTTGAAGGCTGCGTTGCAACTGCTCTGCGTGCAGCCACCAAACACGTACATGGACTGATTGGCGTCGTAGTAGCACGCACCTGGAAAGAGAAAGAGGCAGGAGCTGCAGACGAGTCGCTCCCCTTCTCGGGGCCTAACGTTTCTGGTCTTGCAGCCCGGGTTTGGAGGAGGAGAAACCAAAACCAGGCTGCAAGCGACTCCGGCGCCTGCGAGCTCCCTTGACCCCTGCCCAGCTGCTGCAAGAGCCTTTTAAGGCGATTGCTTCCCCGAGCTGAGCCGCTCCGGAAAGTGCAAGGAAAGCTGCCTTAGATGCTTGCAGTTAATTAGATCAGCTGTGATTAACATGTTCAGCACACTTACCTTTCTAAGCTGCTCTGCGGGGCTGCAACGTTTTGGTATGTGGATGCACCGGGGACCTCCAGCCAGTAACTCATCCCCTTTCCCAAAGCTGACTCATTTTGTCTCATCCTAAGAAACTTCCATGGGATCCCCTCTGCTTCTCAGGGAAGGGGTAAGGAAGGGAAAAGGTGGACGGGGAGCAAACACATCTTGAACAGCCCTCAAAAAGAGCCAGGAATTAGGCAGCGTGCACGGAAACGGACCTCAAACACAGAGGCAGCGCGTTGGCCACTGATGTTTCGCTTGGCAAAACCCAATTCAAGATGAGTGCTCGGAAAGCCATAAAAAGAAAACTCCCGTTAACCCCAGAAACACAAGTGATGCCTCTACGGTGCGGGAGGAATTAAGGGAAGCGCTCCTCAGATCCACTCCACGCGATATGAAATCCACAGGGTTTTAGGCTCTGGGAAAGCTCAAAGGTGTTGGGATATCGGCTAGGGCTTGCAAGGAGCAGGGCTAGGTGCCCCACACTGACGGGCAACATATTCCAAGAGGGGAAAACACTCAAGTGCCCCAAATTTTGCAAGTTTTTCCTCTGGAAGAGGTAAAGGGGTGAGATGCATCCCTAGGCCTGCCCAAGGCGTGCGCGGATCCCTAGGAATTAGACCCCCTAGGAAGTGGAGTAATTTTACATTCTCGTCTCCAAAAGAAGAGGCCCCAAGGTCCCGCTGCACCCCAAGCTGTGCCTGGCACGTCCTGCCCGCGCGGCCGCGATGCGGGGCGCTGCCAACGGGGCTTTGTGCCTTCTCTGTGGACGGCTCCTACGGGACCACGGCTCCTCCGTGGGTCACAGCTCCCCTAGGAATCCAAGCGCTACCGAACGCAGCAGGCTGAGAGCCCTCTGCTCCTGGCCAAACTCCTGGCCCTGCTGCTTTTGCAGCCCAGCCCATTCATCGTTTCAAATGGGGAGAATAACTCGGAGCAGGACGCTGCGAGGGAAGAAGCATCAGGGCGTTTCAGGGTGCCAGAGATGGTGCCCTTGTTGCAACAGGCAGAGAAAAGAATAAATATTTATTCCTAACCTTTGCACCTCTGCAGGCGCTGAAATCCTGATGGCAAAGACGGTATTTTGAAGGTATTTTGAGCATCTTTCTGTTTGCCCCTCTGAGCTGCGCAGTGGTAACGCATGGGGCGGCGGAGATGGATGCAGAGCAGGACAGGGCGAAAGGAGAGAGCGGAGGCGGCGCCGCAGGAAGGGAAGGCGGAACGCAGCCCCCCTGCCCTCGATGGAAACCAAAGGGAACCGGCTTTGGAAACATCAAAGCACCTTGAAGGAAGTAACTGCACCTATGGGGGTGAGGCTGGACGGTCCCGCTGCGTGTCCGGGCGAGAAGGCCCCAATACTGCAATTCCACCCCCAAATGTGCACGACTCTGTGAATCGGAAAACGGATCCTACCTACGGGAGAAGTGAAGCTGGCCAAGCAGTTACCCCAAGCAGCCTCCTGCGCAGGAGCCTACGCTGAGTTTAGGGAACCTACGTCGAGTCATTCTGGTTCCCGAGCCGCCTGGGTTGACAAAAAGCCCCCTCTAATATGCTAGGGTGGAAGTGGCACTTCCGAGAGCCCCCTAAAATGCAGCCCCATCAGGATGGCCAATCCCACCTGCAACTAGAGGAAAACACAGGCAAGTCCACGCTGACCTGCAGCGGGCGCTTGATGAGCAGCACCAGTTCAAAGCGAGCTACGACCACGGTGCCTTCCTTTATTAATTGCATCTTTTCCTTAAGCAGGACAAAGGAATCTTTGCAGAAGGCGCCAACTTCAGCCTAATCCCCTGCAGCACCTCCCTAGATCTGTCCCGGCACGTTCTGCACATGGGCTGCTCCATCACTTATTCCTGGGCAGTATGAGAGCTTGATGGCTGCTTGCTCTTGAAATCAGCACACGTACTTACCTTTTTGCAGAGGAAACTCCATGGATGCGTGGCCTTACTTGCCCTAAGAGCCACCGGATTCAAGTGACCATCAAGTGAGTCTTTGTTGAAGGGGACAACGCAGACACCAAGGGTTAAAAAACCCACCTCACGTTAACATTTCCTCTTAATAACCACGGAGCAAAAGTCAGCAGTGACGAAGAGCTGCCGGATCCCTATTTCTGTGCCGAGTGCTGGTGTTGACAGAGCCGTGTGTTGCCGCACGCACGCGGCTGCATCCCGGGGACAACCCACCAGAGCTCCCCGTTGCAAACGGGGGTGAGAGAAGGGGTTTTTTTTGCCCCCCAAGTTAACTACTTACTGTGCGAGAAGCGTTGTGTGATGGGGGTGCCGGGATAGGGGTAAGTGCGACTCTCCCACTGGATGTTTCCTTCGTGCACCGCTTTGATGAAGCCGTGGTAGCACTGGTGGGCCACACCTGCAGGAAGACAAGGTGTCACAGGGCATGGGCACAGCGGGAAGGGTCTGCCCTTGTGCCCCTGTCCTGCGGCCTCTGCGGGGTCTCTGGCTCGCTCCGCAGCTCCCCATGGCACCCCGGGCCACCCTGACCGGCGAGATATCTTCCCCACAACTTTCCCGAGGCTTTTTCCCCAAGAAATCCGGCCTTGCAGGCATTGCAAACGAAGCCCAGGATCCCCCAAGCAGCTGGTCCCGAAGAGCCTTGAAACGCGTCTCAGGCAGCGGGTTTCCAAGCAGCTGCATCCTGACAAACAGGAAAAATGAAGCGGCAAAAAACAAACGGAGCCTTTACCCGCAGCGACCTCCCCGTTCGCAGGGCATAGGTTGGAAGTGACACTTTTCTTCCTGGAGCCACCGCAGGAATAAAAAGGACAGGGCCACCAGCAGTACCCGCTGCGGCTCGTCCCGGCCCTGCGCTCCGGACAACGTCGAGGGGCAGGAACACAGGCATCTCTCACTTGACCTCCATTTCATTTATTATTTTAGAAGAAACCAGTTATGCTAGCGTGGCAGGACAGATTTCCTATGGATGCAGCTGCCTGTAAGAAGGCTGGTGTCCCCAGTGGTGTCCCCTTTTTGGTCAAATGAACCAAAACTCAGGCAGACTTCTCAGAAGGTGTCACGAGCAGAGCGGCAGGTAACGTTTGGACAAGTTCACAGGAAAACCCCTTGCTGTATCGCGCGTCTCTAGCACTACAATCTCCCCACAAGGCTTCGGAATTGCTGCTGCACTGAGACAACCGGAAGCATCCGTATCCGAGGGCTGCTCCTTCAGGAGAGACTGTCAGATCTCCAGCACTGCAGGTGCAGCTCAGGCGCTGCCAGGTGTCTTCAGCAGGAGCTGCAGCAGCTCCTGTGCCAGCCCAGAGTGAAGGCTGCGGGGGCCTAATCCAGAGGGAGCTCGAAACAGGGCAGATTTCCTCACATGAGATGTGGGGCAGCGGGAATGGGCGCTCCCGTGCGGAGAGGAGCCCCAGGGTTAGGAGCACTGCACGCTATCAGCGCGTGGGGAGTGTTCAAGGCACATCCCCAGCGGGCGGATGCACCACCAAGGGCTTGGGGTTCTCACTCCTGGAAATTTCCAGTGAGCGCATCCAGCCTAACTTGGAACACTCTCCCTGAGCCAAGGGCTCCATGCATTCCCTGCACTGCTTCCTGCAATGCCCTGACCCTGGCGGCTATTTCTTCCCCGGCATTAATTTTGTGGAAGTTACATTTCTGAGTTAAAGGCGGGAAAAAAAACAACTATGCAACAAGGTGGGTCTAAGACAAAGCAGAGAGAGGCTGGAATTGCTGTTCCCACAAATAAGAACAGAGGACACGTTCCCCCGCCGGTACCTTTGATGAGTCGATACCACTGCTTGCAGACGAGGGCTGCGGTCTTGTGCTCCTGGTAGGGCGAGAGGAAGGACAGGATGTATTCCAGCACCTCCTCCGGGAGCTCCAGCATGGACCTGCGGTGCGCGCTCCGCGGCAGCTCCAGCTCGGCGGCAGGCTCCTCGTCCTGCTCCATGGTCCCTTCGGCCGCGGCCTCCTCGGGGTCCACGGCCATGAACGCGTCATCCTCGCTGTCCGAGGAGCTGGCCATGGCATCGCAGTGCGCGCCTGCGGGGGCACACAGGGCGCGTTACGGCTCGCGGGGCACCGGGGAGCGCTCCAGGACGCCCCGGGCCCCCAGGAAGCTCTGCCCTGGCGGGCACCGAGTTAAGCCCTCGGATTTGGCAAGCCCTCGAAGCCACCGCCACCAGAGACCCGGCCCACCGGGGTGGGCATCCTTCCCGTGGGATCACCAGCAAAGCAGCGGGAAAGAGGAGGCAGGAGGGAGATCCCCCCACACTCCTGCAGGATCCCCCTCTGGCTTCGCTGAGCACTCGGTTGCCACAGAAAAAGGGCAGAAAATATGCAGGATGGGCTCCCTGCGAAAGGTGGGAAATTGGAGCTCCAGAGGGTCCCAAGCGGGAGGAAAAGCCCCCGTGGGAGCAACGTGCTGCAAACTGCCCAGCTGTGGCGGCGGCAGCGCCCGGCGTGAGGCGCAGGCTGCAGCGGGTCCGTCTGCAAAGGGAAGCGCAGCCCTCGGCCCTGTTTCCCGGCGCACCCCCCTCAAATCCCGCTCAGCTCTTCTTGGAAGTCTCCGAGGGCAGAAATTCTCCGAGATTCCCCAAACGCAGGGTTTATGCACCAAAACAGAGGCCCGGCGCAGCGGCCGGGGTGGCGCGACGGGAAGGAGCAGCCGCTTTCCAGGATTAAACCCGCGGCTCCGGCTGCTCGGCGCTCCCGATGCCGGCCCGCATCCCAACGGCTTCGCGTGGCCGTGCCAAGGAAAAGCTGGGAGCAGGAAGCCGGGGTTGCCGGCAGAGCACCCACCGCCCGGCCAAATGCAGCCCGAACCCACGGAATTCCAGACTTTAGCACCTGGAAAGCTGACGATAAAAGGCAGAAGCTGCACTTCAATAAAGTAATCAGAAGCGGAGCTGGTGCGTGCAGGGAGGATGCAATGGGCACCCGGGGGGCACAAAAGGCTTTGGAAAAGCCCTGCGGAGAGGTGCCGAGTTTAACCAGACACCCTCTCTCACACAGCTGCCCTTGCAAGCGCTTTCCCTTGGTGCTGGACCCGGCTTTGGGTTGTCCCGCGGGCGGTGAATATCCGAGCAACACAAAGCACCGCGAATGAGGAATTTGGGCAGCGGGCTCATCAGAAATCCCACGCAATCCAATGCAATCGCCAGGATGGAGCCGGGAGCCCCGTTTCGCTCCGACTCACAGCTGCGAGGGCTGCTGCTCCGTCCCTCCGAGGTGCCGTCGCTCTGCAGGAGCCCCAAGCCTCATCCCGGCGGATAAATTCCGGCGGATTCCGTGAATAAAGCACTGCTTCCTCTGCTGAAGAGGGGGACACCTTTCTTTGGCAGAGCAAGAGCACAGGGAGGGAGCAGAGAGGGCTGTGACAGGAGGAAAAACAACCTCAGGGAGCTGGGGGAACCTTGCAACGTTTCTTCAGTAGCAGGATGGGGAAAGGGAAGAAATAGCGACCGCAAAGGCCGGTATTGAGCTCCAGGTATATTAAGGAGGGGAAAGGAATTCACTTCATGGATAAATTGGGGTGAACTGCTTGGGGTTGGGGCGAGGAGACCCATGTGGGTGGCTCTGGAGTCCCGGCAAGGGGCTGTTCTCGGGCCCTTCCATCTCCGCCAGCGGCAGATCCCGGGGAGCCGCCCTGGGAAAGGAGCCACATCCTGGCAGGAGCCTGAGGGGGCAGGAGGGAGGCCTCGAGGGCACCTGCACCAGCCTGCCCTCCCATGCCCACCCAACGGGCCACCGCCAGCCCTTTGAAGCCGGTTCCGCCACCCTCACTCCTCCTTCGCGGCAGGAAATTGGGGTTTTCCTCCCCAAAAGATCCTGCTGCAGCCTCAAAAACAAAAGTCCCGCAGGTGCCACCCGCAACTCCCAGGCCTGGGCGCCTCTCCCGGCTCCGCTCGCTGCCTAAGCCAGGGCTTTTGCCAGGACCCTCGGGCCAAGTCTAGACACGGCTTCCCAAGGACGCTCCCTGCAGCGCAACACGTCCCATAATCCATGAATGTTAACTGATATTTTGCAATAAAAAGGTTTTACAGGGCTGGCAGGAAGCCCTCCGGTGCCTCCGCCTGGCTTTGCCGGGCAGGTTCCCTCCCCGCCGTGTTCAGCGCTTTTAGTTTGAGCTTTCAGTGGGAAAATGAAGCCACGCAGCAAGGTTTATTACTAAACTAACCTGCGAAATCCCATCCTGCCTAATGCGCCTGGCTGCAAAGGCTCACAGTGCCGGAAAGGAGGCGATTTATTGGGGATGTCCTCTCCAAGCCAAGCGGCACACGCTTGGCACGCTGCTGCCGTGGAGCTTCCCGGTTCTTTGGGAATAGAGCAGTGTTTTAGGATAACGCAGGAGCAATCTGCCTTTGGGGTTCGGCTGCTGGAGGGACTGAGATTCATTCTGCCAGAGCAGAGCTTGCCTTAAAGGTTAATGAAATATCCCCAGCTGTAGAGAGGAAGGTGAAGCTGAAGCACCAGGACCATGCATGGATATTCCTGCAAAAAGCTGCTCTGTGGAGATCTCCACAGGGTTTTCCCGGGATGCAAGAGCCTCCTGGGTTGGTCGTGTCCAGGTTTACTCCCCAAATCCACCGGCCAAAGCTGCCCCCAACGCTGGTGGGTTGGGGAGGAAGAACCTTGGGCTCGCACGCTCCCTCTGCCGGCTCCCACCAGGCCGTTAACTAAGAGCCAATTAAAAGATGAAAATTTCAGCTCCAAAGTGAACGAAGGGAAAAAAACACACGCGAGGCAGAAAACAACATAAAGAAACTGGTGAATAAACGGCCTGGAGAATCCGAACCGCATCACGAGGTTGCCAAGAGGAAGGTGCAGACGCTGCTCGCGGGGCAGCGGCAGCTGTGCGAGGATGAACGCTTCCAAAAGCAGCCCAGCGGCGGCCCGGGTGAGAACAGACAAGATTTGGAGCCCAAAACTGACCTCCTGCCTGCTGCAAAACGAGCAAGACGGCAAATACCCGAGATAAACGCGGATAAAGCCCCTGCTTCTGCGTGCGGCCGTGTAAGAAGGCGGGAGCTGGGCGCGGGCAGCCAAGCTCAAAGCCACCTGCTTGTGCCAAGTGCACGGGCACGGCGCCATGTCCTTGCTCTCCACCTTTCAGGGAGGGAGAAGCTGCTAAAATTCCCCGGGTGCCGAGTAGGTTTCACCGAGCGGGACCAAATCCGCAGCCAGGCCCGCTTGGGAGACGTTTAATGCTCATCGTGCGGCGAGAACGGGCCCGACGGGAGCGACACGGGAGTGGCGCCAGGGCCACGCGAGCGCCGCGGACACGGGCACGGCTTGCGACACAAGCCGGGCTTGAGCAAGGGCTCCCCGAACACGTTGGGCGAGTCCCCTCCACGCTTGGGACGGGCTCAGATGCCCGTTTGCTGCCACCGCCACAACGGGCCCCTTGGGAATATAAAAATGCCCTTTTCTTGCAAGGCAGCCCCTGCGTGGGGCGATGGGCATCCCGCCATCCGAACCTGCATCCTCCCTCCTACAGCTTCCCAGGACTCCATGCTGGAGAGCTCCGGCTGCCTGTTTTCCTTAGGGAAGGCACCACCTCCATCCCTCCTGTCTCTCCACATTCCCCACAGAGTTTGGAGGAACTTGACACCCCTGCGATATTCCTGCCCCTATGAACTAGGCTCGAAAGCAACGGGATGGGCACAAGAGGGGAAAACAAGAGGCACCAGAGTCGCCATTCCAAAAGCCGAGGAGACGGAAAGCAGAACAGTTTTCCCTGGAAAAAAGAGGCGCTCCGTGAAAGTCAATCGCAGCAGAAAGGCTGTGGCAAGGCTGGGTTTTGCTAGGGCCTGACCTGCACACACGTGTTTGCACTTAAGCCAAGCTCTAGCAAAGGATGTTGTCCCCCACTAACGCACAAGAGCGTCCGCCCAGCAAGTCCCAGCCCGGACGTGCCTGCAGCCGAGCTGAGCTCAGCCCTAAAGCGAAGGCTGCGGTGGGAGCTGCCCCCAACCCAGACCCTCCATCCCCGGGCTGCCCAGGGACCCGTTTCTGCTGCCTTTGCTGAATGCACCAACAGAACAAGCAGAAACTCAGCAAAAGAGAAGACGTTTTCATCCTCTCGGCGTCAGAATAAAGAGGTGGGGAGCGTGTCGGGAACGGCGACCCGCTCGGCAGCGGGGACAAACCCCGGCGGCTTCCCAGCGCTCGGGACCCACCTCCCCGCGCCGGCACCGCCAGCGCAGCCCACGCACAGGAGCCCGTGAGCCCCGCAGCCCCAAATCACCCGGGAAAAGGGCAAAAACACCCGGGGTGCCGAGGCCAAGGAGCACCCGCGACAGCGCCGGGATCGTGGCGCTGGAGACTTCTGGCTTCCCCGAGCCGGGTTTCAGAAACGAGGCCATGGCCTCGCTCAAGCTTAGAAGCGTATCCTGATGGCACCAAGAGCTCTGTTGTTGTTGCTTTATTATTATTATTATTATTATTATTATTTCTTTTCGTTTTTTGACAGCTAGCTGGAAACACATCAGCGCTGGAAGAGAAGCAGGGAGATATTAATCACGAGATAAAAAGGGAGACGGAAAAGGAGACTTACGGAAAACGAGCGCAGCGCTTGCGAAGAGGGATGGGATGTAGAAACGGGGCCTGAATTCATCACTAGTGGCCTTATTCTATGGATGGATGTATAGAAAGCAGGGCGAGCGGCCGGAGCCTGATGACGGGAGCCTCCCGGATGACGGGACCTTCTGGAGTCACCGGGCAAAAAGAAAAACAGGCTGGGAACAAATGCAGGAAGAGCCGGTATTCACCGGGGCTGGGCAGAGGTTGCTCTTTCTTCCCACAGTCACCTGGACTGAGGAGGGTCTTTAAGAGGAGTATTTTTACCCTTAAGAGCAATTTCTTATCCCGAACTTCCCCGGTTATTCAGTCACTTTTTACCTGCTGAACTACGTGCCACCTCCAGACAGATTCATGCAGGCAAGGGTCAGGATTTCCTCAGCATTACGGGCATCTTTGATGAGCAGAACATCAATATTCAGAGATTTTCTATGGCTGCCTTGTATTTTCAGTATTTTGTGGCAAATGCATCTTTAAAACGCACCTAAAGACATATGCAGAGCTTCACATAAGCCAAAAATCAGCCAGCCAAGACACACCAAGTAGGGTGAAACTCGCTCAGAAACTTGCTTAGCCAGCAGATATATATTTTGTTTAACTTACCATAAAGCTGGGATGGGAATACACATCACAGCATGCTCAGATATGGATTAGTGGAAGGTCTAAGGGAATATTGGTGGCAAACAAATGTAGTAAAGCCCTGGAGGAACAAACGGCCTTTCCTACACGCTGACCAACGTGGTGTTTGTCACCACGACACTGACACGGATGCGTCGCTCCTCTGCCCTTCCACACCGACATACGCAGGCTGGAGCAAAAAGAAAACCAGGCTTTGATTTCCAAACCACATCAATGGGCAGCAGGAGCTCCCGGGAGCTGCCCAGCCTGGCTAAGCCGGAAGAAGCGGCGATCCCAGCTCAAACCTCCCGGGGACGCCGCCGAGCTCCCAAAGGAGCTCTTACCCGGCAAAAGCTCATTCCGCGAGCGCCAGAGCCCTCTGGAAAAGCTTTTACGTGGCTTTGGCGCGAGCCTCGCTGCCCGGCGCCTCGTTCCGCTCTCCCCTCCTTCGCCGGCGCGTCCCGCCGCGTGACGCTGCATTTCCGTCACCGACGAGCGCGCTAAGCTTAGCTGCGCTCCATCCCCGGCGCGAAAGGTGGCGGGGGCAAAGTCTATAGCAACGGTTTGCAATAAACCCTCCTGGGAATAAACGCGCGGGGAAGGCGACTTCCCTGTGCCCGGAGCCTCCTGGAGCAACCCCATCCTGGGAAGGGGCTCCAAGGGGCCGTGGTGCCGCCCCCGGGAACATCCCGTTCCTAAATAAACAAATATACGATCGTCGAGGGCTGGGAAGGTCCGGGAGCTCCTGAGCTCGCCTTGCTGTCCATCTTTGCATTGAAGATAATGAGAGCGAAAGGGGGAAAAGGGAAAAAAAGGGCAGTTTTGAGACTGAGCACAGGCAAGGGCAGCCCCGCTGTCCTCGCAAAGCGGAAGGGAACGGGAGCAGGCAGCAACCGGGGGCTTTGCAAGGTGCTCCGGTGTGAGAAAACGCCGCCTGGGTGGAGCAGCCTGTCAGCCCAAAGCGCAGGTACGAGCGGGGAGGCCCGCGCACAAACATCCCAGCTCTGTGAAAACACGCGGGACATGCCGCGCGCGCCGCTGCTTTGGGAGGAAAGGCCACAGGAAAAGTCAAAAGCACCCAGGGACCCACCGGGCTGAGTAATTTCTCCTACTTACACCTGATATCCAGCGCCACGGAGCGCCCAGGACCAAAGGAGCTCCCTCGCCCTCCCAAACCCGAGCAGGGAAGAGCTGCAGACACTGCAAAGGAAGGAGGGAGAGCCAAATTTTCTCCGGAAAAGCAGGCAGGGGGAAAAGAGCCTTACTTCAACAGCCCAAGCAGAGCAGCCTGGAATTAAATACTGGAAAACAAGAGGTCCCGCTCCCTCCGGCAGCCTCCAAGCGGAAAACCAGACCAGCTCCGTGTACAGCCCCATCCAAATCGACGCTGCACGGTTCCAGCTTTAATTCCAACGCTGCATCTGATAACACGCCTTGGACTCGCTGTCCTAACGCACATGATTCCCACCTGGAATTTCCTACCTGGAATTTCCTATGTGCATCTGCAAAGGGGTTTCTCGGGCACCCCGGGCGTTTTGCTGAGGCTACGAGGGGTCAGCGGAGCCTTCCCGCATGGCAAGTGGGAAAAGCCCCTTTTATCCAGGCCGGATAACGCGGGGAGCCCCGCGAGGGATGCGGGGGACCTGCCCCAGCCCAAAGCGTGCAGGGCAGCGATATAAAGGACGGGAACGGCGCGGCGGGAAGCGCGTGGATCCCCCGTACGCCCGGGGGAGGCCGAGCACGGGCAGCGCACCGGGAAACCCACCAAAACCGGGAGTTTGGGGGATTTTAGCCCCTGGGAACGAGGCAAAGGGCTCATTTCGGTCCTCTGGCGGGCGCAGGTGCCTCCAGCCAGGGGCGGCCGCCCGCCCCGCGCCGCCGCCTTGGCGTTTTTGGGGCGGAAAGAGCCTTTTGGGGGGCCCTTCGCCCAAAGAGCAGGGCCGGCGCCGCAGCCCCCTCCCCTCGGCGGGGCCTCCCCGGGGGCCTCCCGGGGCAGACAATGAGGCGGCGGCGGCGCCCCCTCCCCTCCCC